GGTTTGGATTGCAGTTTTGTTATGCGCGTGCATTGAACGTTTACGTTGGGCCGCGTGAACGGCGCGAGGAAAAACAAAAAACAATGGAGGTGACGAGCTCGAGTGAGTACGGTCGAATAACTTTATTTACCGACGATTCGTCGGCTCGAGTTAATCTCGCCGATGAAGATACCGCCGTGTTTCTCGAAGGAATTTAAAGTGATTGGACTCGGCGTTCGATCAAGGTTAAGTACGAGAATTTCCAAGACTTTTTAGTGTCGTGGTGTGAAATAATAAAAGATAACGGCACTTAAAACAACCCCTTCAAGAGGCAGACACTGCGACGTTTGCGCTGTGTAACCCAAAAAGCAGGCTTCGAATCTAGTCGGATCATTGAATTAAAAAAAAAATAAGACACCGCGATCGCTTTTTCGTGATTCGGGCTGTGGTCAAGCTGTCGCTTCAAACGTCACGAAGTAATCTTCTCTTTTCACTCAGTAAAGATTAGCAGAAACGCTTCGAAGTGTTTGCAGCGGCAGCTTGACCGCAGCCTTAATGTGATCTCCGTAGACTTTCAGGACGTGCTGGACGAGCTGGAGGGCGTCTTGAAGGACGCCACTTTTCTCAGTATCGACGGCGAGTTCACGGGTCTTAATTCGGGTCCGGATACGGGACCCTTCGACACGCCGGCTCAATATTACGCCAAGCTGCGAACGGGCTCGATGGACTTCCTGCTCGTGCAGTTCGGCCTGTCCGTCTTCACGTACAACTCGGAAACGAACAAGTGAGATTATTGTCTGCTACCTCTGTGTACTGTTAATTAAGTTTAAGAAAGAAAAAGAAACGGGCACACTCGAAAGTAGCACTGAGAAATTGCGGAGTGAGAGAAACGGCCTGTCCGTTTCAGATATTCTCAGCGCACTTACAACTTTTACGTATTTCCCAAACCTCTGAATCGTCAAGCGCCGGACGGCAGGTTCATGTGCCAGACGTCGTCCATAGCGTTCCTGGCGAATCAAGACTTTGACTTCAACAAGCTATTCAAGCACGGCATACCGTATCTCAGTGCCAGTGGTGAGGAAAGGCTGGTCAACCGCCTGGAGGAGAAGCAGAAACTCAAAGAGGAGAGCCATCCAGAGTCGATTCCGATACCGGACAACGACAAGCCTCAGATAGAAGAGATATGGTAATCTTGCGTTTCTGTTCGATACTTTTCTTTTTAATCTGCAGGGGGAGGGTGTAAGAAAGAATTAAAGGAAAAGTGCGATCTAAGGGGGATACGGATCGCAAAAATTGCGATTGCACGTCAGAAAATACATGGTGTACGAATTTCAGTTCTAGAATAGAGAATTTTCTTGCCTCGGATGCGAAAGAATTGACGATAGACAGATGTAATGGTTTTATGAGGCGACTGGTGTATCAGGAGGCACGGCTGCGGTGGCCGAAGAAAGTGAGAGTTGAGAGTAAAATTGAGAATACCTGGCACTGCCTTGTGGTGCAGAGGGTAGGCACTAAGGAGCAAGAGGAAGAAAGGGAAAATGAGAGACGTGAGCAGGAAAAAATGGAAATTAAAGAGGCTGTAGGACTCAGCAACCTGATGAAAAAGATTGTAGAGTCTGTAAGTTTACAGGTTGATTTTTAATTACATATCAAAGCTTCAATGAGTGGATACTATGAATTGGTAATGCAAATATCATGATTTTTAATCTTGAAGCTTCATAAGCGACATATTGTCATACTTATTAAATAAGAAAGACATTTGTTTAAATCTATTTTAATTCTCTTATATTTCAGGAAAAGATAATAGTAGGACATAATATGCTGTTGGATTTGTGTCACATTATACATCAATTTTTCACGCCTTTGCCAAGCGACTATTCGGAATTCAAGACTTTGATTCATGGCCTGTTCCCCAGGTAAGACGCAAACATTTATCTATGTATTATTTTTTGCTTTGGAAATGATTGCAATTATCTTAAGTAGCGTTTACGCACGTAATGATTAGTGATGTCAGCTAACGCCAGTAAAAATGTAAACGTAAACACTTGATACAAAACTGGCGCAAGTTACGTGGCGTTTATAGAGGAAAGTCCTCTATTATGAGATAGGATTCTAATGTGAGATAGTAAGTTTTCAACGGCGTTACTGCCGTACCTTATGTATACGTATGTATGCATACATATGTGCTGTAAAGAATTTAAAAAATTCAAAGATTTTAATTTTGAACATTACTTGTTGTAATATTTTTAACATCTCGAGGTGAAAATGATCGCGAGAGTTTATCTTTCTTTTTTTATTTAAGATTATTGGATACAAAAGTCATCTGTCAGTCGCAGAAATTTAAAGAACTCGTGTCGTCGTCAAATTTGAACATATTGTTAGACATTGTGAGCAAGCCACCCTTTTCCATTCCCGATGTTGAGCCTGTGGAGGGACGCAGTTATTCGGTATTAAAAGAGAAATTACACGAGGCAGGATATGACGCGTACATCACTGGATTGTGCTTTATCGCATTGTCCAACTATCTTGGTCAGTAACAATATATCGGGTACAAATATCACAGTGCCTTTGTCAATATTGTTGTTCATCTTTATAAGTAATTGATTGTATCGAATATAACAAATACATTGTCGAGCAGGTGTGTATGCCTTTCATTCACATTTATTTTTATTTCACGTATCAATCAATTACGTAGATTGATGGATGATTAGTTTGACAGTTAATTTTGTTTCGTAACTTTCGTCAGTGAGAACGTGTTGCTTATTTCAGGCACGTTACAAAATTCCGAGAATGCTACGGTGTTACCAAATTCACCATTGCTTAATCCTTTCCTCAACAAGTGAGTAATTTACGTCAACAACATCAAGTAATTAGTTTTACATTTCTGCCTATAATAGGCTCACAATTACTCTTACTTCTTTATTTTTATAATTACTTTTTTTTTCTTTGTACAGGCTTCCAATAGCAAGACTGAAAGATGTTCCATACGTGAACTTGGTAGGAAAAGATCGTAAGTATATTTGATGTCGCTCCAAAAAATGGTATTGCAGTATCATTTGTATTAGTAGAGGAAAGTCCCCTATTATGAGATAGGCTTCTAATATGAGACAGCAGATTTTCAACGTCAAACTTCAATCACAAATCTTTTTCCGCGACGATCACACGATCTAACAATGAGTTTTCCACCAAACATTTCATTCCAGGGGCAATAAATTCATGATGGAACCAACAGACGATACCTATTAATTTAGTAGCAACCTGCTATCTTATATTAGGAACTTATCTCGTAATAGGGGACTTTCCTCTATTATTAAAAATAGATACAAAGATATGGTGGGTCCCTATTTTTTCTCCGCACTACGGACAGTACTCCCAATAGTCTTGAGTATTCAGTCTCAAAGAAAAATGATTGCAATTTAGAAAAGAACAACTGCCGTGTTATTACGAAGGCTACTGAGGTTTCGTTTGGAAATGATTTTCTCAGAAGCTGAATTCAGTAATAGCGTTCAGTACTGGCAGCAGCACCGAGAGAAAATTGGAACACACCCAAAGAGATCCACCCTTCCATTGAACGATAACTTTTCCGTTTCTTTTTTAAAGCAAATCCTAGCAGAGATCATGTATTTCACATAACATTCCCTAAAGAATGGAAACACGCGGAAATAATGCAACTCTTCAGTCCATTTGGTGAGTATTAAATTATACAAAGTAATTATATGTATAATTAAAAATAAGTCGAGCACAAAATGAATTGTTCGTAAAGAAGACATTCGCAAAATGAATGTTCTTTTTATATGTGAACGAAATGAGAATTGATGCAAAAGGCATGTGAGAGGAGATGGAGTAAATCCCTCTATGGTTTTGTTTACAGGGGGCGGATATATTTCATGGTTATCCGATACATCTGCGTACATAGGCTTATATCGTCGTGATCAGGCCAGCGCCGCGTTGGCGGCTTTATGTAATGGAACTATTTGCAAAATACAAAAATATACCAAGCACCAAGCCACTTTGCAGACTGCTGTCCCGCCCGACGACCGCAAACGAAAGTTATCAGCATCCGAGTAAGTTATAATATCATGGATTCTATTGTAACATTTTACACAATCAATTCAATTTATAGGTCGCTTCTGCAGATATCAGTTCAAATTAACTCTCGAATTCTTTCATAAAATTAAAAAAAAAAGGTTTTCCAAGTGCTTTCCCGTTTCTCTTTATGTTATGTCCACTGTCCAGGTAATTTTACTATTCGAGATCGATGCTCTCAAATGGATTTTCTGTTTCTAAATTAATTTTTTTTCAAATGTCTAGAAAACAAAAGCGTGATTTTGTATGAGAATCTTGTATAAATCTTTTGTATCACGGACGCATATGTTTAACATCGCGTCGTCGCGAGCTTGGAAATTGTATGCGTTCGTATTCCAAAAATGAATGGTCTCTATCGCAATTTACTTTCTGCCGCGAGCCATCACGTTCGTGCGAGAGATGTATTAAACGCAAGGATGAATAACGCGCTATGAGTCCAGGTATGATTTCCAGGACGATAGAAAAACGGAGAGTGGGATAAGACCCTAGGCGGCCTCCTAGGATTTCCTGTACACGAGAGATTTGCATAGGGCTGTAGACCTTGTTCTGAATTAATGCACGCGACGCTCGCTCTCCTCTACAGGCCTATTTAGTCTTCTTGCTCTTCCTCTCCGTTTCCCCCTTCTGCTTCCTCTCGCTCTGCCTGTGCCTGCTCTTCCCTCTCTCTCTCTCTTCCTCTTGCCCCCTGGTCCGGTTTGCGAAATATCACCGGCGTGCGAGTGATTGGTGTCTACGGGAATTACATTGAATACTTGTATACGTAAAATCCATCATGATCGTCCAATATCCTTGCTTCTTTTTATTTGTTTTACTTCACTAAAAGCCACGATTACATTTCGCTAATCTAAAGGATTCCGATTGGACGCGCATTTTTGTCTTTTTCAATATAATCTCGGAGTACTAAAATACCAATCTAAAAGTCGAATCGGGTTAGCAATTGCTAACTCGGATAGGATTGGCGATTGGCGTTTGTCGCTTGTCCTCTAGCCAATGATAGCCGATTAAATTGCAGGCCGCTTTGCTCTTATTGGCTAAAGGACTATCGTCAATTCCAATTCAATCCGAGCCAACAATTGCTAGTCTGATTCGGTCTTAGCGTTCGATAATCAAACGACGGAAGGCAGTTATCAGCCGCTCAAAATGCACCATCCGTAGGAACGTTTTTCCGCGAAGAAACCCGACGGTTTTTCCCTCCGCGAGGAAAAACGCGTTTCCTCGCGCGCGGCAGCAAGTAGTCGATCGTGCGTTTAAAGCGGCGCGTCTATGAGAAAGTCTTTAACGAGGCACTGCCGGCCGCGGTAATCAATACACCGGGCACATGTTCCAGTCAACTGTCGTTAGCCGCGGTCTTCGTCCGCCGAGCGCAGCCCGTGTATACGTATATACATGTATAGATATATATATAAATGTATATATATATATATATATCCTTTTCTCGTTTAACCAACTGCAGTCTCTCCATCGCATTGTAGTCGCAACATTGCTCAGTCTCGCAGGCGACATGATATTAATGAATCGCCCACGTGCTCGCAATCACCGCGCTCGTAACTCTCCCCCCGCTGCGTCGCGCGTGCACGCGCGTTTCCGTGCCGGGAACGACGTGAACGTCGGATGACGAAGGACCTCGCGGTCGCAATCGCGGGACGGATGGATGGCGTTTCCAGGAAGCGTCGAACGATCATTGGGGAAACGTGGGATTTATAATCGGTCGACTTGAGCTCTGTCGAGGAGTCGTTGGTCCGCCTAGGGATGATCTTTCGGCTTGAGAGCGAAAGAAAGGTCCTTTTAGGTGACGTCGGCCAGTTGGGAGATGAAGGGCCTGCGCGCGATTGCTAGAGGAAATTTTAGGAACGGAAGATGAATTAAATCCAGACTGTTTAACCCTTTCAGTCGCGCAATTCGGGACGCAAAGTAATTATTATTATTTGCGTGCACTATAGTTTTCTGTGTTTCGGAGGTTGCGGAATTTGTGAGATTCCCGAATCCATGATGGCGGATCCAGCATGGCAGACCGAAATAGGCAAACGTTCACCAATCTTCGCGGAGGTTCAATATACGGGGGTTTTTTAGGTCGCTAATTCAAATCTTAAGAATTCACAATGGCGGATCCGTATCGGTGTATGTACCAATTTTCATAGAAAATGTTGCACTTTGTCAATTTTTAATCAAGTACAGTGAATCCGCCATCTTGAATTTTTTAAATCTAACTTCATATTGAAATGTTGCGACAAGAAATCCCTCGCATATCGATTTTTATTTAAAAAAATGATAAATTTTTACTAATTTTGACTCGCCATATTGTGGCCGTAAGAAATAAGATTTTTTAAGTATATGTTTACGATCAAATTTTTTCACAAATTAATTGAATGTGAATAAAATGCGATTTCTTGAGTTTCAACTCGTTTATAATAAAACAAAACTTACAGCATCGATGAAATAAAGCCCGTATCAGACTACGGATTGAAGCTGAGATTGAAATTTGACCAATCAGAGTAAAGTTTATTAATCTCAAGTTTAGTGAATGTTACTCTCATTGGTCAAATTTCAATCTAATCTCAATCTCAACCCGTAGTCTGATACGGGCTTAACGATCCTGTTATCAAATTCCAAACTTTAGAAAGTTGCGAGACAAAAATTTAAGAGAAATTCCAAATGGTAGAAGTTAGGTAACACAAAATGGGATCACAAAGGTGGTAACTTAGAGTACATTACTGAAAGGGTTAAATTCGTAAGGGCTAGGACAAATATCTTGGTAAATATTCACGACTATTTCAATTATAACACAATTCCTATGTTCATATTTTATATTTTGTTCTTTTTCAGCGAGTTACATTTAATCTCCTTTTTTTCTCTCTTCTAATATTCGACATTTACTCCCGTTCCTAATAGTTCCTCCGAGCTCAAATCGAAAAATTAAACGATCGAGGGAAGTTGCGACCGAACGGGCGAAGAGCCGGGCATCGAGGGGCAGGCACCTCGAGCGAACGAGCGCGCGGTGGATGCAATCGTGAAAGAGAGAGGGATCGGCCGATCGCTCGCTCGCGGTTGTGCATTATTGGCATTATCGTACATTACGCCCGAGGAATTTACTCGACGCGCGTGTCGGAGCCGCTCGCGGGACCGTTGCTGCGACTTATGAATATGCAGCATCACGTGCGCGACGCACGTGTGTGCGTTCTCGGTTAAAGCCGGTATCGCGGTATACGAGGAAGCGGAGATAAACGATAGAATCCCCGTGAATGAGGACGGGAGTCCTCTTTGCTGATCTGCCGATCGCGGGGATTATATTTGCCGCGAAAATCTCTTTCTCGCACGCGTTACATGGAGGGATTGTTGGTTCCGCAGGAACGTGGACGTGAAGGATGGCGAGAAGTCGACGGCCAACGGCGCGAAGGCACCGGAGAACGACGACGACGAGTGGCAAGTTGTCACGGGTGGGTATTACACGCTCTTTTTGCCCCTGCCCTTTGCATTAACGCGGCCCGATTTGTCTCGTACAGGTAAACGGCGCAAGAAACGCAAGGAGCAGGTAGCGGCCGACAAGAAGGTTTTCGAAGAGAGCGACGCCTGGAACTAGCCGCGGTGTTTCGGGGGAAATGATATGCAACGAGTGCATATACGCGAATACGTAACAGCGTGGATACGCGCTGGCTCGGAAAAAGAAAAAAACGGAGAGAGAAACGAAAGAAAAGTATTTTCATTTCACCAACCTCCATTTCTAACCATTAGACGAAATGTCATCGAGATATTTATAAGTGCATTTACACCCTTAATAAATCCTTTATTTCTGATAACATCCGAGCGTACTTTAATCTACATCGATCGAAAGACGCGTCTCGCGAAGCGAGGGCGTATCTTTACTTAAACCAATCTCGAGCTAAACAGAGGCGTGACGGTCATAATTGGAAAACAAATAAAATTTTCGATAGGCCAAATCAATTACTCGAGGTCCTATTGTGCAATAAAAGTGTAATTTTTTGTTGTGTGATAAAAAGTGTTTAATATTTTGTCTACATTGCATATTAGGAGACTTTAAATATGTATATGGAACGCATGTCGCTAGGCACGTATTGCCATTTGAAAATCCGCTCATTTTCCTCGAGTTCGGCACTTCGCGGATCTTTGCACTGAAATACGGCATCCCTTCCGTCACGCTTTACTTACTTAATTTTATTATCACGATTCGTGATTTATGTAAGACTCAATTTAAAAAAATTTCACGTTTGACGAACCTGCTTGTAGAGATACACGTTTGTGCAACGGTATTCTCTTTATTCGAGCATAACGCGTCACGAGTCTCTCGAGTGTGTACAATCTCAGTTCCGACGATCGACCTTGATGCGAATTCCTTGTACCTGGCAACTGTTAACCGCGATGGGATTGTAATCGGCGTGTTGATAGTTTTTCCAATTGGCAAGCCGTTCGGATCGATCGGCATTCAGTTTCGGCTGGTAGGCAACAGTGGATGGACGGTGTGGTGCGTGTCGTTTAGGGATTTAGGCAAACTCTGCACAGGTACGTAGTATTCTAATGGGAAAGAAAACATTCGCTAAGGTAGAACATTATATAGAAAAGGCACGAATCGTCTTTCATACGTAGAACTTTATTTCCGCGCAAAATCTGTTTGTTACTCTCTTAAAATTTGTGGAGTGAAAATACTGCCATGGAGTGAAATGTTCACCCTATTGGCGTGAATATTAACTCCAATGGAGTAAACATTTCACTCCACATTTTTTAGAGAGTACGTCTAAAGCAATTCCTGATAACATAATTTTGTAATTACGATCTAAAGTAGGATTTTAGTTGACATTACAATCTTTTCAATTAAATTAATAATACTCTGCGAACTACTAGATGCACGACTGTTGACATTTGAGCGTGTCTCGTAGGTAATTTGGAGAAGTATTGCCCAGGTTATTTGTCGTCACTTTGGCAGCGAAATATCGTCACAAATATCACTTTGACATCAAAGTGACGATAAATAACACTCTTATCTGGGTGTAAATTTTAGTTAACATCTTGAGAAGTGTATTCGACAGTATTTTTTTATATTTATAACATACACTGAGGGAATTTTCTCTTAAAAATCATGTAGTCGTGGGACAACGTGGCATTTTGAAAACCTATGGGTTTTTCGAAATTTTACCATACGTTCTACCAGTAAAATGTACACCAAGTATAATTATACCGCTAGAATGTTGAATTAAAAAAAAACTCGTAAAATTCTTTGAAATACCACGTTGTCCCACGATTGCGTGATCTTCGGGATAAATTTTAAGAAAAAAATTCTCTCCGTGCGTATTGCATTATCATACACAATTTGCAATCGAACATTTTGATACTTTTCTACTTTCATTTAGTTTTAGCTGGGCCCGAGCTGGACGAACGAAACGTTGTTACGAAATTTAGTTACAAACTCGGAATGTATGCGTTACAGGAATCGCATGGAAAGATGAGTAGGTTCCTGCTGGACACGCAGAATCTTGATTGGCAGATTCAAGGCAATGAAACCCCGTTGCGCGCCGCTTATCCGAGATTCCGCAGAACCGAGCTGTTCGATGGCGCAAAATCGGTGAGTCCAAACAGATCGTCCTCGTAAATCCGTCCTCCCTCTTTTTTTTCGCCGTTGCGATGCGTTGGACTCCTTTGGGATTTCCAAGGGCATTGCGTTCATTCTGTGTCGAGGCACATGCCGCATAGAAACCCCAAAGCTGCCTCAACAAACTTATCTCGAAAGCTTGCGCCTTGTTTCATTAATCATTTCATTTTCAAACCGGGACACTCAGACGCACCTAGTCGGCAGCGTGGACCTTTTATACCATATTGAAATGAAAAATATTGCAGCATAATTAATAATAGTTTGTATAAAAATATTACATTGTATAATTAACAGTAAAACGGTAAATCTACAAAGAAGAGAGACACTTAAAAAGTTCATCTATAATTAATTAACCGAGTTTGGTGCAACAATTAAATTTACATCGCGATTAATCGCTACGTCTTCCGCCTCTCGTAAATGGCTGAAACAGTATTCGCTCAATCACGATTTCACCAGCTTTATGTTAATTTTAACAGTTTTTCCTTAACCAATCTGCGACAGGCTTCTTTAATTCTAACTAAAGGGACGATAGATTCGAAGAGGACAGTTAGGAAACGCGGGGATTGACGGATAATAATTGCTGCGTGAATTATTAATTACGATTAGATTTATTGTATAGGTCAATATATTTTATCTGACTACCCGTGGTCGCCGCAGGTGATTATGAATAACACATACATGCACGTCTAAATATATACACCAACCGATGACAAATAAATCCAAAGTGATTCTTCAAGATAATTGAAACTAAGAGTATTAATCAAACACACGCGCGATTTTCTTATATTCTACATTATGTTCACACATCGTCAAACTTTATTTCGCACTCTGTGAATTTCCGAGATGAAATGACCTGTTGCTTTTCCCTTATTGTCGTTCGAGCGTTAAAAAACATATAAGGAAGTGAGAAATTATTATTGTGAGCACCAATTGTTGCATTTTCTCTCAAACGAAGAAGTATAATTGGAAATATCGACGAAATGAATTTTCTTTACATTTCTCGTATCCCAATGTTATTCATTAGCAATCGACTGCCTGCATACATAAACATTAGTCGTCACATAATTAAAGGTTTACCGTGGTGTCTCAGACGTGGGCGCTTTGCTTCATGATTTAGAGAAATATTTGATGGATAGTTTCGTCGACGAGAGACGTCATTGCGCTTACGCCAGAGATAACTTGGGACTTAGCAGGCCAGTAGGATTCAAACGCAGCCACCACAGGACCACTAAGGCCCAAATCATCCCCGGCACTTTCCGTCCGTACCGTCCACCGCGCAAGCATTCTGGTACCTGAAAAAGATATCCCAAAAGCAATTAGTTACTCGTAAAACGTCTACGAACATCGCGTTGTATACGCAATTTCTCTCAAAGTCTTTAGAAGATGGAATTTGGCCACTCGACTTAGTCTTTTTATCGCGTTGCCCGAGACACAATTTTCATTGTTTGACTACAAATTGATAAAAAAAAGTAAGCAAAATTATTCTTTATATGGTTTCCAAATTAAAATAAAAGATCGAGACGGTCGAAAATTATGATGTTATAAAAGAGCAAGGTTTGTTATAAAAATTGGCACTTTAATCTCACATTGTTCTTAACGGTATCTGAAAAAGCAATTTTATAAAATAGCACAATGAAATATAGATTTTCAGATTTTAAGATGCCACCTTGTTATAATTCACAACGCAAGAATTCCGGTCAGAAGTGCTTTTCACTTGCTTCTCGCAGATTCTACCAGAGAAGCATTAGGGCTTGCCCATGTTCGAAGACATGATTGAAATTTTTCGAGAAAATGGCTATCGCTATGAAAGTTACTATTCAACAATATTTACCTCATTTAAATAATGTTGAGTATAATTTAATTTGTTTTTTTATTAAAAAAGAATTAAAATATTTTTGTACAAGTATTAACAATTGTCATCAATTAGATTTGAAAATTCTAAGACGATTTATTGCATATAAGATAAAAACTACATGTACAAAAGGCTGACTAGTAAAACTAACACACAATACTAAAACAAGACCGTACAATAATTAAGTAATGTTACAAAATGTTTACATTTCTATTTACAATTACTACGATATTGCGATATAGAATAAATTTGGGGTTGTAATTTATTCAGTGTTCTCGATATATTATCGTTATAATGTTATTGAAATTCAAGTTATTCTTTCTTTCTTCTCTGAATTCCAAAGTTCCTAAAAAAAGGAATACAAGTTCGTAATTTTCTTATTTCAAATTATTATCTTTTCCGTCGACAATTTCTATTAGTTTTCGCCAGTGGTTTTTCCAAACTTTGTTGGCTACTAAGGAGAAATACGCACCGTGGCCAGACTCTATTTCTATATATTTCTATTTCTATATATTATATATTTCTATAAAAAATGATTTATGATTATTTAAACAAATGATCCAGAACCGGCCTAGTATATCTACTCTCTATCCTTCTCGTACAATTTTAATTAAATAAAAGGGGAAGTGATTAAATGACATTTTAAGTCCATTTTAAACGATCTGTAATTCGTCACAATTTAATCCTACTATTTTGGGAAATACAAAACGCTTTTGAAAAATTAACACACACATACACGGTGTAAATCGGTGAAAAATGAAATAAGAATTATTGAGAAAGCACTAAATAAATCATAATTTTCCTTATGAAATTCAATGTAATACTGTCAAATACAAGGAAAGTTAAAATACACTTGAAAGGTAATGAAAATATTATGAAATATTAGATATTGCGATATTTTTGTTGATTTTAACTTAAAAAACGTGTATTACTTTTTACTGGGAAATTTTTTAATGATTTGCACTGAACTTTTACTGAAATATCGATAAAATGATATGCCATGGGGTTAATTGAGAGAGATTTTCATGTACATTTCAGCAAAATTTCATTACATTTTCAGTAAAATACTTCCACCAGGGATTATCATCAATCAGCGGATTTTGTCCACTGCCGGGACATAGGTCTCTACTAAATCTCTCTCCTTTCAGAATTTCAAAGTATTTATTCTTTTACGACTCGCAGATCGTTTAACATAGACGCTAAATACAAATTACATGACTTTTTAGGCGGCTGTAATTTGCGGCGCGCGATAAATTACTCGAGAGTGTTACGGGAAGAAGGTCGAGCGTCTCTTCCTCTCAGCGCGATAGCCACGTCCTTTTTTCTTCCTTGATTTCTGCGAGGCCAAACGTTTTCTGACGTTGCCGCATTCAACTACGTCGGAAGCGTTTAATGACCGCTCGTCGGCCGGGACTGTTCGTCTTATTCATTACGCTAAGTACTCAGAAGTGCACCTAGTCATCCGCGACGATTTTATGCACGCCATGAAGTAACGGGTGTGCCGGAAGCGTTATCGGGAGATAAAAGATGGCTCAGGATGCACGCGAGAGATACCCGCGACTCTTTGGCTCTCGTCGAAGTGGTCCAGTTCTGGTATTCGATGTTCATTACACCTCGTGGACGAACGATAGATAAATAATAGGTGTGAGAAACGGTACGTTTGTGAGAGAACGGGGAGTTTTTAACGGCGCGACGAGACGATAGGCGACGGAGTCGATTTAACCGGTTAGCGAGATGGTTTTTATACGACGATACTCTTCTGCACATTTTAAACCCTAATAGTAGTCTTTGAATACATTTTACGCTTTTCTTTGTGCAAAACGAAGGAAGAGCACTCCTCCGAATGGCTCCTTTGCACTTTATTGGCCACTTTACGTTGAAGGAGCAGGCTTCCGATTCATTACAAACCTGGGCACTTGAGATATTGTAATAAAATGCAAATAACTGCTGTGCTTTTTACTGAACACAAAATCTTCTAATGATATCGATTATTTAAATGCAAACGGTACAAGTGTGTGTGTGTGTATGTGTGTGAATAATCTATACTCTACTGCTGATTGGCTCGACTCAAAAGCCCAACTGCCTGAGACAAACGAAAACTACTCTGGGGGAAAAAAGACAGTTAGCAAGCCATTTTGGGGCCCACAATTAGTAATCGAATTATTTGGATTGTTCGTAACTCTACTCTGCGAGTGCCTCTTGAGTGAAAATTATCTTTGCGCTACTGAATATCGACCGAACTAATTGAGAGAATTGATTAGTATTACTTAAAAATCTTGGATATAGATGGAATAGCTAATTGCGATTTTTAGCTACGCGGGGGTAAAATTCGTAAAAGATTAGAGTTACGAACAATCCAAATAATTCGATTACTTATTAATTATGATGAGGCGTTAGGAGCATATGGCGACATTGTGAGAATCGATATTCTGTTTATAAAAAGTTGGAGAGAGACAAAACACATTTAGATCAGGTAACTTAAGGCTGAATCAGGCCCCGATTGACTCTCGTAAGCAGTCCAGTAGGAAAAATAGTGTCGTGTGCCCTCGGCTTAAGAAGGTTCGAGCGTTTGACCGAATAAAAGATAAACCTACAGGGTGGAAAAGTTACTTTATAAAAGTATCAAGTTACAGTTTTTTCCCCTAAAAATGTAACTAGTTACAGTTACAAGTTACCAATTCTAAAAAGTAATGCGTTACAGTTACTCAAAAAGTAACGAATCGTTTACTTTGCAGTTACTTTCTTGCAATAAAAATGAAAATATCAAATCTGCGTTTGAATTAAAAAGTGTCGATAAAAGTGTTTATGTGCAAATGCAACACTTAATGCGACCTGTGGTGGTTTAAAAAAAATGTAAGGTAACTATTAATATTAACTATTAACTATTAATGTAACTATTAAATTAGTTACTATTATAGTTATCGAAAAAATGTATCCGAGTTAAGTTACAGTTACAGATGGAGAGAAAGTAGCGAAGTTAAAAAAAAAGTCACTGTAACTGTAATTTCGTTACAAGTAACGAGTTACTTCCCAACCCTGTAAACCGATAATACATACATTATGTAAAAGATAATCAAACTAACAATGTATAACAGAAATTTGAACAATTTTTACCGTATCG